ACAGCTACTATAAATTAATTATGTAACAGACCGACCAAAACCCGTATTACGGGTTGCCTTTTGCTAGTATATATAAATAGGCTATACATTATTGGACTTTTTTTTGTCCAATAATGTCTAATCGGCATTAAATTTAAGGTAATAAAGTAATTTTTCGTGCGTATCATCTGTATGCTTGATTTATCTCGCATATAATACTTGTTTATACGCATTGTTTTTGTTTTTAGTTTTCTGATGATTATGAGTATGAAACGCATGGTAAACTTTTGCATTAACAAAAAAGAGAAAATTCGATTCGTCAGTGAAGCATTAACATTCATTCACTTAATAACTATAGATCTTTTGTTGTCAAATAGAACTTATAATGAAGTACAGTTTTTTCTACTTGTAAATAAATACTTTTTATATACTCACTTTAAATTATCAAGGTTTGTCATAAACTTCAATGAAGTTTTTATACATTTATTAAAAAACGATATTGACTTTTTTTTATATATTTATTAAAAAACATAATATACGATTTTTTGATTTGACTACCTACATGCCAAACATTTTCCAACAGATATTAATAATATATGTGTCACATGAACTGTCAGATAAACTCAACTTCGTACAGATAAATATAAATCGATTTACTATTGATGTTTGCAATATTATTTTCTTGAAGTTAATTTAAATTTCTTAGTAATATATTTTATTAATTCTCATATTTTATTGATAAATTTTGTCAAAAGTATTTTTGACAAAATTTATTTTATATTTTAGTTCAACACTAAAATATAAATAAAAGTTATCCACATCCATTTAACAGAATAATGATAATTTTATATAATAATGCTATATCTATTCTTTTCATTGTTTAATAGGAGATTTTTAGAAAAAAAAAATATGAGTCATTTTATTAAAGTTAATGCTGTTTAGCTGTAATTACAAAAAAAACTAAATAAGATTATGTTTTACCCTAAAATCAGTTTCTACTACTTATATAAAATGCCAACTTTACTACCTACAGTTTCATTTTCAAAAAATGTCAAAAAAATAAAAAGGTTTTTCAAGATGATGAGCATCAATTTTAACAAATTAATTTTTTACTTAATTTAATAAAAATTTAATGAAATGGACAGTCTCTAGAGTGCTTCTTTTTGAAAAATGATGACAATGTTGTTGTTTTATAAGCTTTACTTATTTGTTATTATTTTTCGAAAAATGATGACATGATGTCTAAAAAATGATGTCTAAAATGTGAAAAAAACATAGGCTTTCCTGATAGAATAGATCTGTTTTATCATAACTGCCAAATTATGTTTAGCATTTAATTTTTAGTTAATTTTGTCAACAAGCTCTTTCTACGAGTGTTTTTGCAGTTTTAAGTTGGAAGGGGGTTTTTGTGTAAGTAATGCTTTATACTTTTTAGCTAGTATATCTTTATATCTTAAACAATTCATTATAACTGTTCTAGAACTTTTTTCTTTTTTTGTCTGGTTCAAGGAGGAGGAGCTGGGGCTAGGGGTCTCCGCAAATTTAGGGGCCCCAAAAAATTTTAGAAGCCTTTTTTTTTTTTGTATAGTCATTTTTAGGTTCTGGCCCATAAAAAGGCCTCCAAAAGGCCTCCAGTCTTAATCCGCCACTGGTTTGGTTCGTTGAGCAATCCAAACTTATTGGTAGAAAATATCTTAACTTTATTCTCCGTTACATTACTAATCTCTTTGATATTTTTTGGTAATCCTTTAAATCTTAAACTATTTCATCTCAGTTGGTTTTCAATCTTTCTGTGGTATTTGTTGTGATATTTCGTTGTAAAATTATTTTTCTGTTTTGTTGATAAGTTAATTTAGCGATGTTTTGCTTTATTTTTCTATTTATTATATTTACGATATTGATATGTGTTGATATAAAACGATATTGTTTGTGTTGTGATTTTTTTAATCAAAAATCTTTTTGAAAATATTTTTTGCAAGGAGATTTTTTTTATCACATCAATTAATAACTACTTTTAATTTTGCATTTTTAAGTAGTTACTAATACATGCAGGGCCGTGCGGTTGCATGGTGCAATCGATCGATTGCTATTGGCATCTAGACCGTGAAGACACCTTTCAGATATTTCACATTTGTTTATTCATTATTTTGTTGCTAGAAAAGGAACTCTTTCGTATCATTCATTTATTCACTGATAAGTGAATGAATGAATTTTATTCATTCACTGATAAGTGAATGAATGAAAGATGATCACTACAAAATTTTATTTCATGTATTTTTACAAAATAGAATTTTAAAGACATAAGTCGGAAAAAAAATAGCTGTTACCGATAGATGTTATTATTAGTCGGCGATAATCTGAGGAAGGTGGTCAATTATATATCAAGATTAACTATTCTTTCATCAAAAATTTAAAATAATTGTTCCTAATATATCATTGGTGACCCTTTGTGTGTTTATGAAATGCGTTTTCCGGTTGAGGTCGCTTTGAAATAAAAATACATTTTATAAATACCTTGAAATTAATTTAACTTTTAAATATTGAAAGTTTTTAAATTTAATTTTCAGATATAATTTTTTTTAAAACTTAAATTTCAACTTTGTAACGTTTAAAATGGTAAGTTTTTATAATTTATATTTGAACATTTAAGATTAGTTGTAAACTTTATCGCTACTAAAATAACAACACATCCTTTTGCAATTTTTAATGAGTGTTCACTTGATAATTGCAGAGTAATGGTCAGTGCTTACGGTTTAAGTTTAATTTATATATTTATAAAAAAACACGATTGGAAATAAAATAAAAAAATATAGTTATAAAGGCAAATACAGAGACATGGAAAAGAAAATATAAATAAAAGTTATCCAGAACGAAAGAAGCAATTAAATTATGTATTACCATCCATTTAACAATGATGTGCATCAAATCAAAACCTTTCTTCCTTTTGCCATATTAACGAATAAACAAATAAGTAAATGTGTAGCAATTAGAGTTCAAGCAATAAGATAATTGTGTGTAGACAATTGTTAAACATCAAACAAAACCTGATATATATTGTAAAAGAATAAACATCAGAATTTAGAAAGAAGTCAAAATGTCGATCAGATCATGAAAAAAATATTAAAAATAGAGAAGATATAAAGTTTTTACAATCGACAGTTGATAAAAAGGACACGGTCTATTATCAGATTTCGCTGGACGGAAGAATATCACGCATATTTTGAAACAATTTTATAGAAAAAAGTTTCAGTGCAAATAAGCAATTTTAAATTTCCTGTATGCAGCAAAAGTAGACAATTTTCACTTTTCCTCTACAATCGACAATGACTAGGTACTAAAGTACTATTGGTTCCGATTGGGTACATTTGTCGCCTAAAAACTAACGAATGTAGCAATTTTATTCCAAAAGTATTTTTTTTTTTAATAAAAAGGTAGTTTTTCAGATATTGCTCAACAACGTGCCGTAAATATTTAAAAAACATAAATAGAAGGAAATTCTAAGAATAATAGCAATATTAAAATTTTCGCGTTTTCAATTATTTTGCAATATGTGAGTGAAAAAACTAATGATATAGATGACGGGAACTTTATTTCAAGTTATTCAAACTACACACACACACACACACACACACACACACACACACACACACACACACACACACACACACACACACACACACACACACACACACACACACGCACACGCACACACACAAATATATATATATATATATATATATATATATATATATATATATATATATATATATATATATATATATATACATATATATATATATATATATACATATATATATATACATTTTGTTTCTATTGGATCATCAAGTTCTAGACTAATAGCAAGTTCAACAGGAGTACCACAGGGTAGTGTATTAGGCCCATTTCTATTTTCCATTTTTGTTTCACCTATATATCGTATTATAGCTAAATTTGGTACAAATCATCATCAATATGCTGATGATACCCAACTTTATACTTTCCTCAGCCCTGGCAAAGATAGCATCAGCAAAATCACTGAGTGTGCTAATGCAGTTACAACATGGTTTCTAGAAAATGGACTTCTGCTTAATCCAAATAAAACAGAAGCTATCTTATTTGGATCTAGAAAACAAACTAGCAAATATAAAAATGATTTGAATATTGCGTTTTCTGGAACCACAATAACTACAATAAATTCAGTAAAAATCCTTGGAGTCATCCTAGATTCAAAGCTCTCTATGGACAACCACATAAACAATATTATTAAATCCTGCAATTACCACATTCGTGCACTTCGCCACATTCGTCCATGTCTGACCAAAGAAGCTGCAAACATAATTGCTTGTGGCATCGTTAACTCTCAGCTTGACTATTGTAACAGCATTTTATCAGTCACTTATCAAAAAAATATTAAAAAACTCCAACGAATTCAAAATAACTTATCTCGTATTGTTTTCCATTCTCCTTTCCATTTAAAATCAGAAATATTGCTGAAATCTCTTCATTGGTTACCAATACATCAAAGAATAATCTATAAAATATCAGTTATCACATATAAAATTTTATTATCAAAATCTCCTGCATATTTATTTCAACTCCTAGAAGTCCGAACTTCAAAACAAAATACAAGATCATTAGACAGTTGCCAACTTACACGTCGTCAACAAAAAACCTCCTTAGGCTCAAAATCTTTTTGTATGGCTGCACCTCCAATTTGGAATGGTTTATCTTTGAACACGCGAAACTCAACTTCTATAGAAACATTCAAAAAAAGACTAAAATATGAACTTTTTATGAACTCTTTTTCAGACTCATAGTTTACTTGTTTAGTGCTTCTGAATTACTTCATCACTATTGTGATTGTTGTAAATAATGGCACTTTAATCTCTAATTATTATTATATATATATATATATATATATATATATATATATATATTATATATATATATATATATATATATATATATATATATATATATATATATAGTTATTTCAACATTAAAGTTTTTATTATATTCTTTAAGCTTTATAACTCACAGATTCTTAAAATATTGTGAATTACATCACAGCTTTTAAATAAAGATGATTTCAAAAACATTGGTAATTATCATTCTCATCGTTACGCTTGAAGTTGCAGTATCTAATGGAGCTTTGATTCAACCTAAAAAAAACAGAGCAGGACTCGCACGTTGTCTTCTTCCAGCCAATATTTGTGCCTTATATACAAAAGATAATGTATGAACTAACGTTGTAATTTTACTCTGATATTTTACTACATTAAAACTTATACTTATTAGAAATAAGTATATAATTTTCCAATTTTTTTTTATTTAGGAATTTATTTGTCGAACAAAGCAAAACTGTGAAAAACCATCAGATTGTAATTTGAGACGTCGTTGTGACACAAAGTAAAATTTTTTCAGAAGAAGCATTTAGAAGAAAAAATAAAGATAAAATTTAGTTTATTTAGTTTTTTTTAGTTTTTTAAAACGGTGTGTTCAGCATAATAAGAATATAAAATAATAAAAATATCTACAGAGGCGAATCTACGGGAGGTTGTGTAGGGGAGGAGGCAAGACCTCCTTCCTAAAGGAGGTTATTTACAAGTTATCAAGTTAATGTAAAAAAAAACTTTTGGCAAAACAATTTATCAGACAAAAGTTTATGTGAACAGATTCTGGGATAGATAAAATCAGACAGAATTGCAAAAAAAATTAGAAACAATGTTTTTAAACAATTTTGGTTTCTTTAAATTGAATAAACTTTGAAATATTTTATATATTTCAGTTCTATGAATTGATTTCCACATATATGTTTTGTGTGTACTTATTTATTTTGATAGGATGGTGATAGGATGATCATTAGTATATAAAAATACTCTTAACCAATTTCAATACAGTTATGCTATGACAAAACCACGGATAAATTTTTAACTTTTCTTTTAATAAATATATTACATAACAATATTATTTATTATTACATAAATAACATTATTTAACTTGGATCAATAAAAGAATTTAAATAAAAATGAAACTTCATTTTACACAAAACGCGTACCGTAAGATTGGGTGGCTTTGGCCCATTTTGCATCTTAATGTCTATTGCATGAAAGCCACAAAAGTTATTTTCTCAAACACTAAGTACTTTCAGAAGCGCATAGAAAGGACAGTTAGAACTATCTGTCTCCTATTTGAAAATTATTTACCTGAAGTATCTTTTGGGTGGTTTAAATGGTGGGCCAAAGTCGCCCTATGTGTTAGGGTGACTTTAGCCCAACCCTGTAAAAAGGAACTAAAGGAAGCAAAACAACAATAAAAACAACATTATTTAGGGAAAAAAAAAAAAAAAAATTACAAAAATAAAGTGACAAAAAAAGATTTAGTAACAAAGTTCTTGTATACAGTAAATAAAATATAGGTACAAACTAAACAAGTATAGGTATCAAGTAAACAAAACAGTTTAGGTATAAAGTAAACAAAAATGACAAAAATAATGTTTTAAAAATTTTAGTGAAAAAGTTCTGGAACTGAATAAATTCCTCTTTTCGAAATTTTCTTAGGTTCCTCAATAAAATCGACTATTTCAGACTGGGGAAAAAAAGTTGCTCTGCTGGTAGTGACCATTTCCAGTTAAGTTCATTTTTTTTCACAATAGTAATTTCTGCTCCATTTTATCTTAATTTTTCAACTGCAGAAAAAAAAATTTCAAAAGTTTTTTTTTTAATTTTTCAGTAGTTTCATTAATATTAGTTATTAAATTAGTTAGTTATAAAGTTTACTAATTGATTAGCTAAATTTAAATAACTCAAAATAAATAAACAAATCAGTCCAGGATTTAACTCTCCATTGCATTTAACAATTACATAACAATTCTCTACAAGATTTAATAGTTTCTCCTTTTTACAAACGTTTTTTGTTTTATCAATATTTTGAAAGTTCTTTTTGCCTAATGCTGAATGATCTAAAGATTCTGTATGACTTTCTACAACTAAACATACATCTGAAAAAAATAGATTAGAAGTCTCAGTAGTTCCAGTATTTGTACTTGGGCCAGCAAAGTCAATGTTGTTGGTCTCAATTGTATTTATAATACTGATAGGTGTATCTACATTATTTGAATTTAATCTATTATTTTCATTTATAACACAAGATGATATATCTGTTGAACATAAGCCTTTACCTGGGACAGCACATACTTTACGTCGCTTTGGTTTTTCAGAACCATCTGAGGTCATCCAGTAACTCAAATAAATGATCTAAAAATGATTGGCTCACTAAATCAGTAGTTGAGTCTAAACCTACATTACAACATGGTAGTCGTGAAAGCACTTGAAACTTGTCTATTGGAAAAATTCCAGTTTTGCGGAAACCAGCTCTAAGGTTATCATTCCCATGTTCACTTGGTAATTAAACGGTCTAAAAGTCTAGGAAATTCATCTTTAGGAAGAGAAGCAACTTTTCTTCCTTTTCCTTTCTCCTTCCATTCACATAATATTTTGTGCCAGTTAATCTTCATAGGTCTAAAGTAGGCAACATCTAATGGCTGCGTTAGGTGTGTAGAGTTTACTGGTAATGCCATAAATCCTATGTTATTGCTTTGAAATGCATCCAGTACTGCAATGCTTAAATGTGAAGATACGTTATCACCTATAATGACACTTCTTCCTTGAGCCTTCTTAAGTCTTGGAAGAAGTAAAGAGAAAAACCAGTCCTCAAAACATGTCGAGTCAAACCAACCACTTTTTGATCTGTTATAACGTGCTTTTGGTGGCCCACGTTCCATCCATGTATTCCATAACGACTCAACTTTGTAAACAACATAAGGTGGTCGCAATTCACCATTAGCATTGCCACAAAACATTACAGAGAATAAGGTCTTTGTAAAATTAATGATGCGTTCAGAATACTTACATCCATACTTTGTTAATTTTTTTTTTACCTGGATCATCACTGAGATTGGTTTCATCATAATTCCATATATTATTAGGTGATATATTACTTATTTCATTTGATAGATTTATAAAGTAGTTATCAATCATAGTCGTTCCTATTTCTGCTCTCTTTCGCTTTATGTTGCTTGCAAATCTTACTGTGAGTTCTGGATTTCTTTTTAAAAAAGATTGAATCCGCCACCTGGAAAATTATTTTTGAACTAAGGTATAATGACGCCTTTTTTTTTTTAATACCCTTTCACTGTGCATCTTAAATCATATTTATCAACAGGAAACCAAACTCAGATGATTTTATTGTATATGCCTTAAACATGTTTTCTTCTTTTGATGTAAATATTTGCTGACCACCATACTTTTTAGGATATGTCTGTTTTATTTTACTTTTTAATGTTGATCTTGGTATATCGTATTTCAAAGCTGCTTATATCAAAATTGCATTACTACTACAAAATGTTTCATTCCAACATAGTAACTACCATAATATCTATGAATGATCACTAAAAAAGGTTTACTCTAATACATGGGGTGACTTTAGCCCGGGCCAATGTCACCCTATGTAGTGGGCCAAAGACAACCTTTTTTTTTTTAACCTCAATTACAAAAAAGTAATAAACTGTTAAGCTTTCAAAACAAGAAAGAATCAAACACTAATGGTTTAAAAATAATTCAGTGTATATTCCAATAAAAAACCTTCATAAAAAATTTGTTTCCAGCTTATTAATTACATGCCTTTGTTAACTTTTGGTTATGACTACGAAAATTGTAAGGTTTTAATTGAACTTGAGATGTCGAGTCGTTTATCCAATTTATTTTCTCATAACCGTTTTGTATTTTATATTGAAAAATAAGATCTCCTCTTAAACGGCGTTCTTCTAGAGTTGTTAATTTCATTAACTGTAATCTTTTTTCATAGGGCATTTATTTAAAAGCTGGTACGAGTTTTGTGCCCTTCTCTGTACTTTTTCTAACATTAAGATGTCTTGCTTCAGATAAGGGCACCATGCTTGGATTGCAAACTCAAGATGCGGTCTTACAAAAGTTGTATACAATTTTTTTGTCATATTTGAGTCGAAATATTTAAAAGTTCGTTTAATAAGAGCAAGCATTTGATTTGATTTACCAACAGCTTTATCAATATGACTGGTCCATTTTAAATTAGATTGCATAATTACTCCTAAATCACGTTCTACTTTTGATGCTGCTAATATATTATTCTGTTGAGTTTCAGCGTCGAAAATTGAATAAGTTATACAAGGATTTTTAAAACCAATGTGCATAATTTTACACTTTTCATAGTTAAATTTCATTAACCATAGTGACGACCATTTCATAATATTATCAATATCTAGTTGTAATTTGTTTATACGGATATCTTCGTTTATAAAAATAAGAAACAGAAGGCCCAAGGACAGAACCTTGTGGAACTCCACTCTCAATTGTTTGCCATTTTGATACACAATCCCCTAAAATTACTCGTTGCTTTATATTATGTACAGTGGGTGCTCATATTATTAGAAACACTGTCTTTTTTTTTGAAAATTATGTGTTAAAGGTTATTTATTATAGAAATAAAAAGGTTGCAGACTATTTTTTCGTAATTTTTGAGTGTTGCGGTCTATATTTATCATAAAAAACATACTTATTTATACTTTTTTTTAAATAATTCCACTATTGTACAAGCAAAAGATTACATATTGGTGATTTATTTTAGTATTTTGTTATCCCTCCGTTGGCACTTATTACTGCTTCTACACGTCTTGGCGTACTTTCTATGCATTTTATTGCATTATTTTGAATATCTATGTTATTGTGCCAGACTTTGATCATCTTTTCAATTAATTGTATTTTGTTAGTAATCATTTCAGAAGCAATTTCCTTTTTCATGATCTCCCACAGATTTTCAATAGGGTTTAAATCTGGTGAGTTTCCAGGCCATGGTAGCACTGGAATTTTCTTTGCTTTTAGGTACTCTGTAACCTTCTTTGCTTTATGGCATGGGGCAGAATCATGCATAAAAGTAAATTTTTGGTTCTTTGGGAACCATTCCTTTAACTGTGGTACCAATCTTGTGTCAAGAACTTTTATGTATTGGTCCTGGCGCATAGTTCCCTCAACGATATATAAGCGCCCTGTTCTATGTCCACTAATGACAGACCATACCATTATACTTAGAGGATGCTTTACACGTTCTAAGATGCAGTCTTTGTGGAATTTTTCTCCAGCTCGTCTACCCACAAACTGTGATTTGTTCATCAATATCTGGATTGTCGATTCATCCAAGAAACATACCTAAACAACATCAAAAAAACTTATAAGTCAAAGTTTTAATGTAGGCAAATCTCTAAATGGAATTTGTACAATTATAAATGAAGTACTTACATTTTTCCAGTCATCGACGGTTAAATGCCGATGATCTTTAGCCCAAGCAAGGCGTTTTTATTGCATTGCTAGAGTGAGCTTAGGCTTTTTAGCAGGTCGACAGCATCGAAATCCTTGTTCTTTGAGTCGG